TCGTTCACGGAACGAATCGAGAGGGGATTTTGGCTTTGGTCCTAACTGTTTAAAGGTTTGACCAAATGGAAGTTTTATGAGGGAGGATTGATCTAAAGAGGTGATCGAATCTCATCTCAGCGAAAGAGTATTTGGAAGTCATAGTAGGAGTTTAGTGTTTATCACTTTGTTCATAATGATCGGGGTTATCCCTAAGAATATTATATTTAATATTCTTCCAGGAACTTCCCGTTACATGAATTATCCACCCCCAGCTTTCTTTGACAAACTGGGTATAACGAAGAGTATTGCATGTTCAGGTTATCCTTAAGAATATAAGATTCTCTAGGAATTTCCCATTACATAAATCATCCACCCCCAGCTTCTTTTGTAAAGCTGGGTTTACCATTGTATTTAGCTGGATGACTGAGAAGCAGTTTATACTCGTATACTCTTTGGAGTGAGGGAATACAGTTTATACTCGTGCACCCACTGGAGTTGGGGAAAGCAGTTTATACTCGTGTATCCGATGGAGTAGTGGAATACAGTTTATACTCGTGCACCCGCTGGAGTTGGGGAAAACAGTTTATACTCGTGTATCCGATGGAGTATTATGGTCGTCTTTACTCGACTTCTTTCGTCGTTATGACGCCGGAGTCAATTAGGGCTTGGATCTTGTTTTTAAGTCCAAAGCAAATCTCAGTAGGATGAAGAACCCTTCTGTGGTACGCACAGTAATTTGGATCCATAATCATTTTAGCACCATCCTGATCTTTAATAGGTGGTAGCTCGATTTTGTCATTAGCGAGGAGGTATTCCAATATGGCTGGAGCTTCATCATCTTCGAAAGAATACTCCTTTTGGAACCTCGGATCGAGAGTTGCGTTCACAGGAATTGTGGATGTCATCGGTTGACCTCTCTCAACTTTCTTTCTTTTAAGAAAATGTTCAGCTTGTTCACCCCGAGATTTTAACTCCTTTCAAGTTGTAGACGGCTCAACCCCCAGAGCTTCCAAGACATCGATGGAGAGGTTATTGTGGCATGTTTGCAGGATGAACTCCTCTGTAATAGGATCTCTGCAATTCATTGCCATGTTACGGAAACGCTTGACAAAATTGTCGACTGACTCTCCGTCTTTTTGCTTCTCATCCAAAAGGATTCTGATTGACACTTCGGTGTCATCATCGAAGAAGTTGCTGAGGAACATACTTTCCATGTCATCCCAGCAATTGATGCTCCCTGGCTTGAGCCGTCGGTACCAATCGAAGGCAGGTCCGCGAAGGGTGCCAACGAATGACCGGACCATTAAAGCCTCGTTTCCAGAGATCATGCCCAAATGAGACTTGAAATAAATCAAGTGCTGAATCGGCGAACTCTTCCCTTCAAACGGTGTGAAGTTAATCAGATTGAATTTGGTCGGGTATGGTATTGAATCCCATTCCCTCGGATAAGGACATGGAATACCCGTCTTCTTAACTTCTTGAGCCGTCATCAAAGCATTGATTTTGTCTTCAAGTTTTTGCATTTTCCCGTCATCGTCTTCATTTCTTTCTGAATGATGTCGAGTAAAGATAATTGGACCACCCCCAGTGAGAGGTGCTATTGAACCACCCCCAATATCGTTATTGGGAGGATCCGTTAAACCACCCCCAGCGTTATTGCCATTGGGAGGTGTATCAGCCATAATGACTTCATCCACCTCTGGATCACTGTCATCTACAACATTCCGAGTGTGGTGGCTGGATTCAAATCGCTGATTGGACTCAGGAGGTTGAGGCTGTTGAGTTAACAGTTCTCTCATTTGTTGGATAGCCAACTTCATTTCTGTCTTCACTTCAGCTCTAATTTCTTCACGTTGTTTGGCTAGAGCTTCCTGAAGTATTTGAGTGAACTGATCAGCAGTGATTGTGAATACTTCTCTGATTTGTCCTGTGCTAGACATTGTATCATCAGAAGCGATTGCAGAATAAGTGTCCGAGAATTCATCCTCCGAGGACATTCCTTCTTGCATTCTCTTGTAGTCTCTGCGTCTGATAGCTCCTAATTGGAGTCGAGACATCCTTTGAGCAATTCTTGGATTGACTTTTCCTTTCGGGGAAAAGTCGGGATTTGAGTCACTTGAATGCTGTTTAGACTTTCTTCTATCAGCCACGTTGATGGTGACTTCAGGGAATTCATCATTTTGGACAGCTGCTCTTCTTTTGCGGAAATGTCTCGGCTTAGGTTTCGATAATACAGAGACTTTTCGTGGGATGACTTCTCGTTTGAAACAGTCACATTCTGATAATGCTGTTTTAACGAGTCGCGCACAGGAACAACGAGAGTTTATCTCTCGAATAACTCTCTTTCGAAAATTATTCACAACTTCAACTTGATAATACGATTCATCGGTATGATTGCCAAAAAATCGTATCGTCTGTTGGTATGATCTCCCAGGTATGACGATATCATTTGGTGAATGCGTCTTCTTCTGGGGGTATAAAACCTTGTTGGCATTCTCAGGACAATTTATTTTTGTCTTTAAGCGATCCAAGGTTATGTCGGGAGTCGCACGTTTAGAACCACCCCCTTGTGGGTATGGAGTCTTAACGGGCTCCGAATGCTGATTTTGCATAAGTCCAGACTTTGGAATCCAAACTTGACGAAGTTTTGGTGATTCTTTGGTCACCATTTCCTTTCTCTTTTCTCGTCTTTGTTGTGAGAGAGCATGGGCATTAGCAGCTTTTGCACGACGTTTTTGTATACGTTCTTTGAGGGTCGAACGAGTCTTTTTGACAATAGTCCATTCATCCGTCGTTGTTTTAGCAGAGATACGAGTGATTGGTTGTTGAGACAACTGAACCACTCGATGTCTCCTCGACTCTAGGTCCGCGTGGTAACGAACCCCGTCGGTTTGTTCCAAGGCTTTAGCCATTTGGCGAGCACAGCGTTGGCGTTGTCTCTGACGAGCTCTTTTCGTCAATGCCGGCGGGCTTTGATTCGATGACTCTTTAACTAGATAAGAGCCATTGTGAGCAGAAGTATTGCGAGTGAAATTCTCAGCAACAATCAAGCGAGAGTCTTCATTTTGTGCCTTCTTTGGCATGTAAGTCTTCCTCAATTGTGAGATCCTCTTGTACTTGCGAGATACTGAAGATCTTGAAGAGGATGATGAGAAATATTCCTCAAACTTGGTTTGGTCGAATTCGTATTCGACCATGGATTCAACTGGAATCTTGATCGGCTGCGACACGACGGTCTCGGCAGCGAGACCGTTGGCTCCCACTGTGGTCGCCAGCTTGTTTGCGTCAAAAGTTGGTTTCGTTGTGGAATTCATTATATCTTCGGTCGATTACAATAAATTCAAAGAAAACAGCCTTTTTATAAGACTCTTGGGGGTATTTATAGCCTCAAGGGTCAGTAACTGCAAAAACTTAACAATCGAAGAAGTCAGTACGGCGAGACAGTGTTTACTGTCTCGCTGGGCGAGACAGCGTTTGCTGTCTCGACCCGCGAGACAGTAAATTTGCTGTCTCGCTCAGCGAGACAGTAAATGCTGTCTCGGAAAATGGCAGTTTCTCGCTGTAACTGTTCTCCCACGTTTCAAACTCCGTTATTTTGGCAGTTATCCACGTGATTTTCGCCCATGATGTTTCCCACGTCCCTTGGCAGTTAATGGACACGTGTAGGGCAGTTACAAATGTAGTTTTGACTATTTCAACACTGTCTCGCTGGCGAGACAGCAAAGACTGTCTCGCTGGCGAGACAGTTCATACTTGTTTTGATTTTTCCAAAACAGTATGAAATCCTTTCTTGTGAATTTTTGAATGATCTTCTCTATGCTTGGGATATCTATTAGCATTTTTTGACGCCTACAGCGGTCAACCGCACTTGACGCCGCGATCGACCAGACAGAGCATCCAAAAACAATAAACCAATTACAAGGTCTGCGGTCGACCGTCGAAGTCTTCACGGTCGACCGGACAGAAATCCAAAAACTCCCTGAGGACGTGCACATTTGCGGTCGACCGCCAC